CTTCAGGCTGAGGGACAGGTCTCTATACAGCAATGCAAGAGCCAAGAGGAGGGGCACCAAACAGGCCAAGGTGGGAGGCAGGAGGAAGATATAGGGCCTCCTCTACAACAATAACCCCCTCTAGGTGTAGAGAGGGATCCAAGCACTCATCAACTCCAAAGGCCAGAGCCCCCTGACCCCCAAAAGCAGCCTCAAATTCGCAGTGGATCCCCCATCCCCCAAAACACTGGCATAGACATTGTCAATGACTACATACATACATAGTCCTCACGACTATAGTCATTTGAGTGGATAGTGTCTCAGCACACCACCTGCTCCTGGATCAAAAACTTCTTCACAAACCAGCCTCAACCAGTCTGATTCTGCCCCCACATCTTCCCCCGCACTGTCACTCAGCATCGGATCACAACAGCCCCCTAGTTTGGTCTCCTACTGCCAGGGTTTTTGGTACACAGGGGCCACAACTGAGAACAGAAAGGCTGCGCAGAGGATAATTAACACTGCCCAAAAAAATCATTGGCTGCCATCGCTAGATCCCCCTGTCTCAGGAAAACCAGGGCCATCACAGGTGACCTGCTGCACCCCACCCACCACCTGTTTGAGCCGCTGCCCTCTGGTCAATCAAGTCCCACACCTGAGACTCACTAACATCTATTCTGTTTTAGCTATTAGCAAACTTACAGATAGAATAGCAAACTTCCTTTAATGTTTAAATCTGAAAGAGAACTGCAGCTCTGACAAACCTGGCAACTTCAGCAACCTTTTAGTCTAATAGTTAGCAACTTTTCCAGTAGGGGTGGGCGGTATAAACGGTATATGGTAGAAACGATTAAATTTGGCCAACGGTAGAGATTCTGACTATATCGCTCTATCGCAATAGAGCATGTTGATGATGTCATCAAGCTGCACCTGTTCTGGTCAAAAGCATCGCAGCGGCTACAACCATTATCATCTGCAAATTATGGCGGGCGACAGTCATAGCAAAGAGATGAAGCACTTTTGAAATATGGGGAAAGCCAAAAACTGCGCTTCCTCTACTTCCGTACCATTGATTCATTAATGCTGAATTCTCTGGTAGCTGCTCTGTTCCCATGTTGTTGCAGTATTTTAATGACTAACCTCGTATTGTGGATGGATTATCTCAGTTGTTCTCCTGACTAAAGTTTGGCCCATAGCATCCTGCCATGCGATTGCATTTGTCCCTGACCATCGGGAACCTTCACGTTAACTTTTATCGAGTGGAAAAAAGTTAGTGTTCATCCTCCAGCTTCACTGTGTTTATGCTAACATAGCTGTGTCGCTAGCAATCACGTAGCACATCATTATATACCAGCTAGCCCAACTTCAGTAACCCTGCAAACGTCACTGCTGTTTAGTTTTCTGTCTTCATTTATGTTAGAAGTGATAGCAGAGCTGTACGTTTGAATTTTCTCAGAAATCTCTCAGTCAGAACATGCTATATCATGTTTAGGTGGAAACTAGCGAGCTAACTTCCTGGTAACTTCTAACTCCATTAAATTTAATAAATTCTGTTTTCATTGATGCCTGGATGTTAAACTTAATTGTTACACCTGGTAAAGCAGCAACGCTGATGATTTTATTAAAGATAAAAGTATTTAGACAGTTTTTAACTCTCAGTGATGTCGCAGTGTTCGTTTGACTTTGGGACCTGAAGCAGACGGAGTTTAGGACCCAGATTACTCAGCGAGGCTCCTGATCATCAAGTGGTGCAGCTTCGTAGCAACCAAAGTCGTACTAAAACATTTTTTGAAAGATTTTTGAGCGCCGTGTAGCACATAAAATCGGTTCAAGGTCAGTAAGCACAACCAGAATTCATACATAAGGTGCACTGTCGATTTTCGAGAAAATTAACGGATTTTAAGTGTGTCTTATAGTGTGGAAAATACGTTATACAGAAGAAAAGAATATATTGTGATATATATCGTTACTGCATGTGCTTCAAATTATACCATGATATGGATTTTAGGCCATATCGCCCAGCCCTATTTTCCAGCCTCTATAGTGTTTAAACACATATTTTTAATAGTTATCAGTCTGGCAACTTTTTCCTTACCCGCCCAATTTTCACAATCCAGATTATCTTGTATCTATCCAGAAATCATTCCATACAGTGATGGATGCAACATTGGGACAAGACCAGTACATATCAGTGAGGCTTCAGCAGTCTCGGTCAGTTCTGGAGGTTTTTCACTCCCTGTTTAGGATTCTGAGCCCACCACCTAATCCCCTAATGGCTCTCTTTGGAGTGGATGAAGTGTCTCTGCTGGCCTTTAAGACAGGCGCTATTGTTCTGTTCCTGGTTTGCCAGGAGGGCAGTTCTAATGGAAGCTGCCCCTCCCACTCAGAAAACAGTGGTCATATGACCTCACGTCTTGTTTAAAACTGCAAAAAATAAGACATGTACTTCAACACTCTACCAGGAAATTTCAAAACATACCAGGTCCTTTCTTTAATGCATTTCAAGATGTATCTGAATTTTTCAGCTGCATTTGCTTTTGCCTGTCTGCAGCTCCCTCATGTCAGGTGTGGAGATGCAGTGTGCAGATTTAGCGTGCAGTCACAACACATTAAATGTTGCCAATTCAAACTGGTTATTAGGACTGTGAAATGTGGTAATAACAAAGTCTGATGTCTTCATGCATGCTCAATCATCCAGATAAGGAAAGCCCAAAAGGTTGATTCTGTGCATCAGGATGTTTTCAGTGGGAGAAACGTTTCGTCACTCGTCCAAGTCACATTTCTTTAGAGTCTCTGGTGACTGAAAAAGCTACGTCCAGATGAACAGCATCAACTTTCTGGAATAAAGCCTGATGGATTTATTGACTTGTTTATGCTCTGCCCAGCTCTGCTGGTGTTGTATTTCTGGTATTCCAAATGTGTGTTGTCAACAGGAAAAGTACTTTTTAGCAGACAAGATTCGCAGTACACGCTCGTAACATGGTTGAGATGTTTTTACCTTTTCTTCTGCAGTTTTTACATTTTCATTTATCCAGTCTTATAAATGCTGATGCTGAGATTTCCCCAAATGTCTAATATCAACCAATTATACTGGCCAGCTGATAAATTGCTGGGGCTTTAATAAAAACATGTCACTATAGGAATATATATTGACTCTATTATCTAATTTGATCTAAAATGTTTCAAACAAATTGCCTATAATAATAATGTTAAAGAGACTAGAAATAACGAATAAATAATAAAGCAACAGCAATTTTCTCCCTGTAATTGTTGCATGTGCAACACAGCAGAAGGACGAGGATGTGTAGACCTCATGTGTTGGGTCTGTGTTACCACAGGCCCGCTAGTTTAGAGACTTATTCCTCATGAAGAACACAAGACAAGACAGAACATCTTCAACCGCTCTTTAACTCGCTAACGAGGGAAGCCTTGGTCAGAACCAGGCGGTGGAGCTTAATGCTCCTCACCTGTCTCTGGCCCCAGATTATAAAAGCAGGAAGCTTACAACACAAGAAACAGATCTTTCAGATAGAATGTATCTACAATAAAAAAAAAACCAGCACAGGGTGGTGTGCAAATTTCCCACAAATTCTCAAGTTAATAAGTCAATAAATCTCTTGCATGGTAACTTTTCTGAATTACAAATGCTTACCATATTACAAGCCAAAGGTAACATAAAGAAATACATAAGTAACGCTCCAAATAATGAAAAATTCCATAACAAGCCTTATGACAAAAACTGAGGAGACAGTTACAAGACAAATAAACACTTTATGCTTCATTTGTAAAGACATAATGCAGATAAATCCGACATTTTTCGACTGCTTAAGAAGCTGATTAAAGTAAGTGACTCTTGTTGCTCATAAACAACACTTTCTGAGCTACACCGGGAGAGACACAGCTGTGTCATACTTTACTACCACATCGAATCTCACTGTCCACCTCACTGAGACAATAGACAAATTTGGAGCGTGTGATACAGTCAAGTCATTGTGTATGTGTGCACAAAGTGGTGACAGAAAAAAGTGGAAGTTAGTATAACTGGGTTTCAGGTTAACTGTTTTACACCTTAACTGGTTAGATTTGCTTACATGTTCCATTCAGGACAAAAATGCATATATTATCTTTTTATTTTGGATGTTTACATTATTTTATTTTGCCCACAGGAGCAAAATGATTTCACAAAAACTACCTGGGTCAAAATTATTAGCCCCCCTGATACTAACAGTTAGCTGTGTATCCTTTGTGCTAGATAAAAGCTTGCAGTCATTTGTAGTAGTGTTCAACAAGTCTCACACACACATCTCCTGAGCAATCCCAGGTCCCTTCTGTTTGGTGAATCTCTTGATCTTCAGTTCAACCAACAGATTTTTGTTGGGTTTCAACTCAGAGCTTTGTGTAGACCAGTAGATAACGTTTACTTTGGTTTTCTGAAGGTAATTCTTCACCATGAGCAAAGTGTGTTTTGGGTCATTGTCATGTCGGAGGTCAAAGTGATATAAAACTTGGGCAGTCTTTTTCTTTCCAGCTCGGGTCCTCTACCAGAGGCCTGAAAGCTCGAGGGTCCGGTATCTTAGCTGTTCCTAGGACTGCGCTCTTCTGGAAAGAGATCTCGGATTTTGTTCTTGGGATCTGCTGGAGGAGCCTCAAGCTCCCAGGTCTCTGGTAGAGGACCTGAGCTTGAAGGATAAGGACCGCCCCACAGGGGCGAGGGGGGATATATCACTGACACATTTACATTTTTAAAAGGTTAACTGATAACAAGTTTGGGGTGGAAAACCTCTTGGAATTGCATTTAGAAAAATGCCAAATATTGCACAGGCAAATCTTTAACACTTGAGATAAAATGACTTATCCTCACCTTTAGAAAGCAAAAGAAATATCAGACACTTCAAAATGTAGTGTGAGTGCTTGGATAGATTAAGGAATAAGAAGGTGATAAGAAAGACAGTTACTTGAACCTGTAACTGTGACTGAGTAGACAAGAGTTTACAGACAGTGCTGACTGAGGCTGGTGTTACCTGGAAAACATGTCTGCAGGTGTTCAGTTAAGGCCTCCTGAGTGACAGGCTTATGGGCAGAGTTCATAGCAGAGATAGCCAATAACAAAACTTCTCCCAAAGGGATGAATTGCGATTGGCTGATGGGGGACATACTGATCGGTGACACATCACCTGTGAAAAGACAGAAAACGGTTAAGTGACAAGTTTCCTAAACTGCACAATACAAAACAAAACACATCTCAGAAATATATCAAATAAAAAGTCATGTGTCTGGACAGCTCTTCAGGCTTTCTGAAGTCCTGTGAAAATGTGTCTTTAGGCACTGCATTACCATCCTGTCACCAAAACAGATCATTTATTCCAATGTTTTAGTTGAATCTGTGAAGTATCACCAAAGATAACACCGTTTGAAAAGTATGTTTACGCCATCAGGTGTATCCCAAGGAGCTATTAGCCAAAAACCTGAGGTGTCCTTAAATTGTGTGAGGAGTCTCTTTTAAACACTTGAGGAAGCTGGACAACCGGAGGCCAAAACAAAAAAGATAAAGCAGCAAGCATAAAATCTACCTACAGCAGAAGAGTATCTCAAAGTCATTAAGAAATAAGAAAAATCAGGCAAAAACCTGAAACAGAAACAGAGATTTATCTGCCTTCAGTTGATCCATTTGCTGTTGACCAAAACTTAGTCAGAAATGGTTTCAGCGGATCAGCAGCTACCAAGAAGCCATTCTTAAAGAAGGGAAACAAGGAGAAAAGGCTGAGGGCTTCCAAAATATCCGATTGTTAAGTGATGACTATGAATCCTGCTTCCAAGTCCAAACTACTCTGTGTTTATTCAGGCTGTTGTGTTTTTAATGCTTTGTATCTTCTTCCATTTAATCTAAACAAGCCACTAAAAAAAAGTCAGTGATCACCGTCGGCCTCTTTTTCTTTTATTACCACTGTTCATAGGCGGTACGTTTTAAAGCTCAGTTATTAAAACATTACAATGTAACTATGACATTTGCAGAATACTGAAAGGTAAGTAGGACCAGAGTCTAATCTGATTAATGGTCTTTCCATGGATTTGTCAGATAATTAGGACAACGTTTAACAGAACAGAATATAGAAACTGTACTTAGATCTAACTACTCAAGGAACGTCTGGATGTGTGTTCCTGCTGAGAGTTTGAGCACTAGTAGTCTTTGTCCACAGCAGAATTCTCACAAAAGATTAAAAGGGATTTAAAAAGAAAAGATACCATAATAAAGATTAGAATAACATACAGGGTATCCTTGTCCAAGGATATTTTGACATGCAGACTGGAGCAGCTAGGAATCGATTACTTGGCTCTGCATTTAGCAGTTAGCATTTAGCAGTTAGCTATTCAAGTTGTCTTACATAGTTCAAAAAATAATACACTAGGATAATTATTCACTCAGGTAGTGCAAATAAACAAATGAAAATAACTTTTAGGTTATTAAATCACTACAGAGGTACTGTAGTGATCTTCAAATCTACAATTTGAGTGACAACAAAATGCTTAATTCACAGGGTTTATCGATCAGGCCCAGGCCCTTGCCATATAGACATTTCATGTTGGAACAGGAAAGGGATTTCCCCAAACTGTTTCCACAAAGTTGGGAGCATGAAATTGTCCAAAATGTCTTGGTATGCCAAAGCGTTAAGAGTTCTTTCACTAACTAAGAACTAAGAGACTGAGCTCAACCTTTAAAAACAACTCCACATCATAACTGCCCTCCACCAAACGTAACATTTGACACAATGCAGTCAGACAAGTACTGGTAACTCCACACTTGTCCAGTGGTGACGTGCTTTACACCACTGCATCCAATGCTTTGCACTGTGCATGGCGATGGAGCTGCTTGGCCATAGAAACCTATTCCATGGAGTCCTGCGCACTGTTTGAAGGTGTGTAGCAATTTGACTCTGCAGAAAGTTGGCGACCTCTGCACACTGTGCCCCACAACATCCACCGACTCCTCTCTGGGATTTTATGTGGCATACCACTTGGTGACCTGAGTTGCTGTCAGTCCCAACTGCTTTCACTTTGTTATAATACTACTAACTCTGGAATATTCAGTAATGAGGAAATGTCAAGATTGGAGATGTTTTTAATAATTAAATCTTGTTGAAACGGGAACTTTACTGACCTGAAGTCCTCATAAAAACCTGGGTGTTGCTCTTCAAGATGCTTTGCCAAGTTTGTTGTGCTCCTGTTCATGGGTTCACAAACACGTCAGCGGGAAAGATTCTGCCCACTATGACATTCCAATCTCCGGTGGAGATAGGAATTGATAAGAACTTAGCTATTTTGATTCCATTATTGATATCACTTATTGATTCAATTCTCTTATCGATTCTCATTGGCTCCACTTTAGTAATTAGACTTTAGTAATACCCCTTTTGTTGAGAACAGTGTTGGGGTCATTACCCTAAAAAAAGTAATGTATTACACATATTACACAGAACACTTTTCTTAGTAAATACTTGGCAGGATTTTTCTCCTCACAGGAGAAAGTAATTTCTACATTACTCATTACATTACCTTAGTGTTTCTCCATAAAATGACCTGACAAACATAATCTCATAATGACCATTTAACAAAATAAACCTGAGACAGTCCCACACACCAACACATCCTAATGAGGACACACATACACTCTTTCTCGTAGATATGAACACAAAGCAAAGAGAAAAAACAGCACAAAGAGACTTAATTGCCACATTGGTCTGCTTTAGAAACATGAGCATGTAGAAAGGGAGACTGCATCCATTTGTTACCTGTTTAGGGTCTAGCTGCTGGGCTGGGGTCAGTGCTCACCCTGCTTTAACATCACTCTGGTTTCTTGGCTAGCTTTGTGTCAGCATGCTGTGTGCACAGAGGCTTGCAAACAGCTGAAGTTGTCTGTTTCTGTCCTGGATACCGTTCCCACTTTACCTTTACACTGTTGTCCTTATGTGCAAAAAAATTAAAGTACTGTCCATATCTCTACAAGAACCACTTCTTTCCAGCCCTAACCACCAACCTTTCAATTAGAAGAAGCCTTGATCTTCCTCCTGAACAGAGTCCACATGTTTTAAGAAGGTGCACCTCAATCATTTATTTTCAATCTTCTGCTTTTGGCAAATATTCTACCTTAAAAATGTGTCTTTTGTCACTGGAGCAGCTAACATGATGGTAAATGTGTTTCTCTACTGCTTTCATAGGCTGGTTAAAACACAAGATAGCACTGTGGACTGTCGCTTTAACAAATAAAAATAACAATCCAATTAGATCACTACTATGCAGTTCTACTAATTCTACTAGTTCTTTTTATGAGTACTTCTTCAGGTAGTAGTGTTTATGTGCTTGTGGTAGTTTAGCAATTTCCATAACTCCTATCAGCACTCCTATCACTAATACTGTTTTCTCCCATGACTATTATTGTATTTTCCAGTAGAATGAAAATGACTAGCATAGTTGATAACTAGTTTTAGCCAGATCACAATCTATTAAAAGAAATACATCATTAATTTTGAGTAAAAGCATCAGCCTTCCCTAACTGTGCATCTGCTGTAGTTTTTGGTCCAGTCACTGGTAAAGATTAGCCATTTTGAAGTAGCTGCTGTTAGCTTACAGCGCTTCTCTCTTCTTGCTACTACAACTTTCTAATAGCAGACAGGTAGGGACACAGAGCTAATCAGTAAAATCAGAGGACAAATCATATACAGGAGACATCTTCAGAGAAAAACCAGGATGCTAAAAAAGAGATCAGCGAGCAGCTGCATGAAGCAGTGTAGCTGGGTAAGAAAAGAGACAGTAGTACAGACAAATTACTGAACACTGATTGTTTACTGCCACCACAGTCAGAGACACGTACAATCAGCCAGCCTCCTTTGTCCACAGCACTAAACCACACCCCCTCCACTTCTAATGCTCTTTATAAACCTCCATTATCCTTCTTGCAGCATGTATGCCTTATTCGTTATCCGTGTAATCTTGTCCCATCTAATTATTCTATAACATTAAACCATGCTATAATGCTACCTTTCATAAGGTAGCAAGTTGTGAAGAGGCCAGTGATAAAAATAGGAGGAGAAAAAACCAAACAGATAAAGTAAAGGCAGATTCATACCTTAGCTGATATTATCCACTTCCTTCTGAGAATTTAAATCCAGTTGGAAAGCTGCGGCCTGTGGCTTCTAACGCTAACGCAAATCTCTCCCCTTGCTGCCTCACACAGCAGTTCATCCTCCTTTTACCTCCAAACACACACACACTGCTCCTCCCCCTCTCCTCTCTTATTACACAGGCATCATGCTCCTCTATTCTACTCACACAGGCACAGCCCCGCCCCCACTCTTCACACACACTGTTCAGTCAAAGGCTACCCACAATCCTCTGCACCACACAAAGACAAGGGGGTGTGACCAATCACACACTGCCTCACTCTGCACCAGTGTTTTTTAGCCCTTCCGTCACTGCATGCATGCTGACATTCCAGTTGTGGGCGGGCTACTGAGAAGGTTGCCATGACAACGTATCCCAAGTTGCTCTTTGTTGCTAATACTTTGCAGTAGACATTTGTTGCTATAGAAGTGCAGACATAGAAGCCTGCTCTGCTCTATGTGTGTGTGTGTGTGTGTGTGTGTGTGTGTGTGTGTGTGTGTGTGTG